AGATCAATTGAGAATGCACCAAGCATACATTTTTTGCACTCATTCACAGAGAGTTTTTAAATGTCTTCACGCCTTTTGCTGCACATGAACATATGGGCCAGCCATTTTATTCCTTCTTTCAAATGCTGCCAATGTGAACAGAATCAATAACACATGGTAAGGCATGTGACCTATGTGAAATTTCATATTAGCTGAATAAAATTCTAGGCTGAGCTCTAACCCTATCAGCATACATATCTGCCTCTCAAATCATGTGTGTAGATAGAATTGTAAATTTTTAGAGCTGAAAGGGACTTTAGAAACCATCTGTTCAACCCCCTTTTTGTACAAAGGTGTAGACTGAATCCCAGAGAGGCAAAACTACTAGTTCAACATCTGGTTAATAATAAAACTAGCAAATAGTAAAAAGAGGAAACTATCCAGTTGCAGGACCCAGATAATGTTTAAGGACATAAGTATATAGTGGTTTGTGTACATGTATTTATGCAAGCACATGCATGTGTATATATATATATATATATATATATATATACACACACACATATGGATCTGCATACATCACCAACTCTTCAATTATCTCTGTTAAAGCTATGCTTCCTGTCTGGTTTCTTCCTAACTACTGACATGAACCAATATTGGGTGCTGCCTCTCTGCTATTAACTGGTGTGTGTGTATACTCGGTTTGGATTCCTCCAAAAGCAGAGGCTGAGAGAAGGACTTCAGAGCAGTTAGTTTATTTGGGAGGTGATCCTAGGAAGCACAAGTAAAAAACAAAAGAAGTAGAAAGAGCTACTGTGAGCAACTGGGACTCAATGCCGTTGAGGACTCCTAAGAAATTATGTTGAATGTGCCTAAGAACTGCCTTACCTTAGGACAGGAGACGGAGGCATTTTTATACTGGTTCTCATACCCCACTAGTTGGGGACTGCCCCTAAGGATGGGGTTAACTTCTCATAATTCCCCCTGCTTGTGACTCAGAGAAAGACCTGAAGCACAAATGTCCAGAAGGGGAAGAGTCTACCCTGGCTGCACTTAACGTCAGAAATGGGCAAGCAGGTGTTGCACCAAGATACAGAACTCAAGGCACACAAACCGATTTTAATACTTTAAATATTTGCATCTAGTTTAAAAAAAAAACTTGTATGGATTAGCCTCACAGGTGGCTAGTTCACTGAGTTAGTATAAAGGTGACTATAGAATACCCTGGGTCCATTGTATAGCTTGCAATCAAAGTTCGTTCTCTCTCTCTCTCTCTCTCTCTCTCTCTCTCTCTCTCTCTCTCTCTCTCTCTCTCATGACTGGCCAGGATGCAGCATTCATTCATTCATCCAACATACATTTATTTGAATGGCACTATGTGCCTGGCATTTTCCAGATGCTGGGTATACAGCAGTTAGCAGTGGACTAAAAATATTTCAGCAGTGTACTAAAAATAAAACCAAACAAAACACAAAAACAGAAATATCTGCCCAAACAGAGCCTACAGTCTAGTGGGCAAAGATATTTTTGTATGATAAGCATCAAGGAAAATATATCATTATTCATATATTGATAAGAGCTCTGAAGAAAAATTAAGCAATAAGAAACACAGAAGATGTTGGTGAAAAGGAATATTGCTATTTTAATTTATTTGCTGAGGTCAGGAAGCGCCTCACCAACTAGATGGCATTTGAGCACAGGTCTATAGAAGGTTCGAGGGTGAGTCATGGGCACATTTGAGGCAAGTGTATTCCTGACAAAAGGAAGAGTTCCTATAAAGGCGCTAAGGTGTAAATGTACTTGGCATCATTTCTGGGTTATATATATAAATAAAATAGATGTACGAATTTTCAGGGTACATGTGATAATTTATGCAATCATATAATTGATAAAGATCAATTCAGTGTAATTGGGATATTCATTGGTTTCATTTTTTTCTTTATGCTAAAAATATTTGAATTATTGTCTTCTAGCTATTTTGAAATGTACAATATAACAAACATTTGAAATAAACTTTGCAATATGGTAGACTAGGAACGGTATTGAGCTTGCAGACCATTTTGTCTGCTTTATATGGGCCTTTTATTTTAAAAAATAATTTGAATTTTTAATTCATAATCATTATGGCAATATGAAAGAATTAGGAGATTATGCATAAAAATCTCAAAAACTGGGCAAACTTCCCACAGGAATAGGGCAGGGCACCGGTTGATATCTGAGTGGGACATGTTTTCTCCAGTTTAACAGTCATTAGCCTTCCCTATTATATTGTACATTTTTAATTCTTTAGGAATGTTTTCTTTATTTGTTAGCTTCTTTGTTCTTTTAGGTAGTGGGTTTTTTGATCCTGGGTTTAAACTGGTTCAGAAAGAGAATAATAAAACTGATCTTTGTAGTGATTGAAATTTTAGACTACTAGTATCAATAGTTTTTTTTTAATTTAAAATTATTGCTAGAGACTGAGTCTAGCATATAGCAAAAACAACATTCCCATTGTGCCATAAAGTACTAATCAACGTCCTAAAATAATTATCAGACCTTAAAAGATGCATTCCTTGCATGATTAACCTGCTTATCTATTTGCAGCCTCTGTTGTACTTGGAAAAAAATATATCAGGAAAAGACATATTTGAGATTCACAGATTATGGTAAACATAATAAACATAAATACATTCTTTGCCAAAAACTCACTGAGAAATCTACGACTCAGGAAGTATAGAAAAGTCACGGATGACACACAAAAGGAAAAAAAATGAGTAGTTAGGAAAGGGTACCTAAATAAATGTGAAGTTTCTACCCTTCATTCAAAGGGACAAAACACTGATATGAGTAGACTGTGATAATTTATGTGTGTGTATATATATATATATATATATATATATATATATAAATAAAAAAGCAGTTAAGAAAATCAAAATTCAGAGTGCTGAGTGCTATGTAAATTAATGAAATCAAGACAAATAGTAGGAAAACAAAAACATTAATTAAAGCTTGACTTTACCTACACTGAAGGAGGAATATAGTAAGGGAATACTAATGCCATGTAAAATAGTTTACAAAAAAGGCTCACAAAGCAATCAATATACTGATTCCCTACAAAAAGCTAAGTCAATAAAAAAAGATACAGGTACACACCCTAGGTGAGAATTCCAAGTTTTTCAAAAACACAACTGAAGAGATTAATGACTTCCTTGATTTTCAACCCTTTAAATTCTCTGTATCTACTTAGCCCATTGGGTTATATAAGCACACTGCTGTAGCCAAACACAAGAAATCAATTCATTGCCTTATGTTTTAAAGAGTATCTTTATATCGGAGTCATTATGAGGAGTTAAAGCTCGAGGTCTCAGTTGAATCCTTTAGGAGGGTCAAGATGACCCTTGCATGATTAACCTACTTATAAATTTGCATCCTCTGTTGTACTTGAAAAAATATGTTATCAGGAAAAGGCATATTTGAGATTCACAGATTATGGTAAACATAAAATATGATATGGTAAACAAAAAAACCAGTTGAGCCTTGGGCATATTGCTGGAAGGAAGATTTAGGTTCTGACCAGATCAGGGAAATAAATAATTTCTCTAAAAGAGATGCCAAAATGTTCATAATTCTGGAATAGTGAGGATGTTGTGAACTCAAGGCAAGAAGTTTGGAATATATGGGTAGAGTATTATAAAGAATATAAATATTATAAATAAATGAGAGTTTACATTTATGAAAACACAGAAAGAATGAAAGCCTAGATTTCAAAACTAAATCTGCACTGGCCAAATCGACTACATGGTCAAGACAACAGGCTGCTTGGGTTTGAATCTTAGCTCTACCACTTCTTGGCTTTGTGAACTTGGGTGACTTTCTTAACTTCTTTAATGTGTCAGTAATATTAACAGTGATTAGAGTAAAAATAAACAATAAACATGTCCTAGGGGTTATGGGAAAATGGAATGCGATAAAATACACCAAGTGCTTAGTGTGGAGCCTGACATGTAGTAAGGGATCTACATGTTAGTATTCCCATTACTGCCTTTGACTTGATAACAATTGCAAGAAATCTGCTGTAAGGAGTTTTCAGTAGCTAGAGAACTCAGCTAATAGAGCTCTGAGAGAGCAAGTAGCATGTCTGTCTTGTTCAGGAGTATATTCCCATATCCCAGCACAGGGCTGGCTGGTCACAAGGTACTCAGTGATATTATTTGAGTGAATGCATAAATCAAAATAATGGTGATTCAAAAGTCATTTTTGTTTCATGTTGCAAAAATGTAAACAGATTCAGGTGCCCCACTTGAACTTGACACCCTGAATAACAAAATAGGTCAACTAGACTCATTGCAAAAGGACCTGAAAAGATGTAAACTATCCCAACCTTGAAACCAATTCCCAGTGCATGCTGAACTTACAATGCATCATTACTTGAATTATGTATGTCAACTGCTAGGCTCACTTCTTCCAGAAAACTGAGAAAGCAATAAATAGCTTGTTTAAATGTTTAAAGTCCCTTTTCTACTAGTTGACCATGAATGAGTATATGATAAAAACTTCCTATCTTTTTCTTCCTAGCTCCTGCTAAACTGCAGGTGCACTGAAATGAAAAAGAAAGTCAATATCAAAAGATGGAGTCATAGCAACAAAGACGATGAAAGAGTTACCTAGATAAAATTCCATCCACCGACATCAAAGTAGGCAATAGTCTATATTATCAGTTTTATTGCCCAACATCTCTGTGCAATTGAACACACAGATGAGCAAAAATAACAACTTTCAAACTAAATAATGGCTCAGATGACTCTAAAAGGACCAGACAGACAGGTGAAACATCAATGTCTATCTCTGGATACAACACCCTGAAAAGAGCCACTAAAAGACCATCAGGAAGGTGTATTCAACAGCATCAGCAAATAGTAGTCATAGTAGTGTGCACTCTTCAAATTTTATCATTGCCATCTAAAGTGAAGGCCCACTTTGGAATTAGTGTGAAATACAGTGGCGTTTTTAAATCAAAAAGTTTTAAAATGACACTCTACCTGCAAGGCACAACATGAATGACTGCAGTACCAGCAGTTCCCATGGCAACCTCATCTTCAGTTTCCGAGGTCAAAGGAGTTTCAAGTCCAATAACAAGTGAATAGAATCGTTGTTTCCTTTAAGTTCTGTACAACCTTTAATCTGTGGGAAAGAAGAGACATTACAATGAGATTTGGGAATACTTCTCCTCGTGGTCTCTGCAAATTTATCTTTACTTGAATATAAATAAAATGCACTTGTGGAAAAGTACTGTTGAAGGAGAAGACAGAAGTATGTTAGATTATCAATACAAAGCAAATAAGCCTCCTATTCTTTTCTTGCAAATAATACTTGGAGAGGGATTGGAGCCGGTGTGCCCTGTGGCTACTGAGTGAAGACAAGAACGGCTTCTGATTTGGCATGAACCAACCTGAAGGCAGAGAATGGACTGAGCTTTGTAAGTTTCCTCCTAGTCCCTAGTCCCCATTTTTTGTTTACACCCAAAAAAGTAAATACAGAAGAGTTGCCCCAGAACAAGATAGAGTTAGCACTGGGGATCTTAAGGAAAAATTCCCAATTTTTAGAATGGAGTTATGTGTGGGAAAATTCAATCAATTCATCAATTCAAACAGTTTTCCCCCTAAGCACCATGTTTTGTTTTGTTTTTTTTCTAACATGCAACAGAAATATGCAGCTCCGGTGCCTACTTAGAGAAATCCTTCCAACTATAAGCAGGCACCTACTAGGTTCATTTGGATAAATCCAGAGCATGATTAAAAACAGCAATACCTCAGTTAGTCGGAAATCTTAAAATGGGAGAATTCCATGATAAAGAGAGGCCACCTGTTATGTGTATCAAAAACTACAAAACGAGTAGCCAAACAAGTGAAACCGGTGGGCAGACACTGGCATCCTGGAGAGAGGCATGTCTTGATTTAGAGTGGGCAGGTGCTCTTCAGCTCAGACAGATAAGGAACCTGTGGGGCTCAGGCCCAGGGATGCAGGAGCATCCACGACTTTCCCAAAAAAGTTGAAACCATGATTGCATTTCGAAAATCTCACAAGTTTTAAATGTTGGAAATCAGCTTAAAATATTTTTGAAGTACCGCCTGACTCAAACAAAGCCAAACGGCCCATGGTGCTGAAGGTTTGCAACATGACCTCGGTACAGCAGAACTCTCACTGTGCTTCCTCCCTTCCATCCTCCCCGTCTCCCACCCATCCTGCCGGTCAGCCATGCATCGCTGGAGCACCTTCTGCTGGCCAGACATGAGGTGCGGACCTGCCCAGATGAAAGAGACACCATATCTATCCTCTAGGGTCTTCTACTCCAGTGGGGGCAGTTATCCACAAGTTCATATAATTGCAATATGATAATGCCATGATCAAGAAAACATTTTGCCTTGGAGTCTTCTTAAAGGAGATGAGCTCCCCCTGGGTTTGTAATTTTTTTTTTTTTATTAGACAGAATCTCACTCTGTTGCTCTGGCTAGAGTGCCGTGGCATCAGCCTAGCTCACAGCAACCTCAAACTCCTGGGCTCAAGTGCTCCTCCTGCCTCAGCCTCCCCAGTAGCTGGGACTACAGGCATGTGCCACCATGCCCAGCTAATTTTTTTCTATGTATTTTTAGTTGGCCAATTAATTTCTTTCTATTTTTAGTAGAGACAAGGTCTTGCTCTTGCTCAGGCTGATCTCGAACTCCGGACCTTGAGCTATCCTCCCGCCTTGGCCTCCCAGAGTGCTAGGATTACAAGCGTGAGCCACTGCGCCCAGATCCCCCTGGGTTTGAAAGATGAGCAGGACGCTTTCTATCCATCAGTTCATCAAATAGTAAGTGAGAAATCTAAGGAACTGGGAGACTTGCATTCTATTTACAACTCTGGCAGTATCTAGTTGCAGATGGTTCTTGGAAGGCTGCTGCACCTGCCTCCCCTGAAGGTTGTTTCAAGGGAAACTCCTGGGTAAGTCAATGAAACCTCTTCTGAAAATGACACAGCACCATACATTGCCAGATACTATTTTAATCTCAATAACTTTTTAGCTTTATATTTGAAATATTTTAAATTATTTATTTTGAAAGGACAAACAAAATTATATATATTGGTGTAGCATATGATGCTTAGATATATGTACACATTGTGGGAGCCCTAATATTTTTAACCTGATAATAACCTGGTAGCTTCTCATCTCATTTCCACTTACAGAAAAACACCTGAGCAAACTGCAGGGGTCCATGAAAAAACACGGACCAACACAAGCTAGTTAGTTAATCAAGGGCTTCTAGCATTAAATTAAATCACATGGTCACTGAAAGGCCTTTGTGTTTACGAGAAGCTAATAGAAAGTGAAGAACCATCATTAGAGAACTCGCCTTTCTTTTGTGCCCTGAAATAGTCCAGTTTTCGATAAAGCCAGACTTAATATGTTGTGAAGACAAAAAGGACTCTTAACTTCTGATCTGCTGACGTGGCTGAAGGCAGGTAGCAACCTAATTGGATATGTTCACATGCTCCTCTGACATGCATGGTGATTAGGCCATTTTAGATAAACAGGATGTGCTGATCAATGAAAACTATTAATGTCTTAAGCAAATGATCAGGGTATTAATAATTAATTTTGCGAGGGAAATGTCATCTCAGACCTGAGGATTGATCTACAATGTTAAGCAGTTTCTGAAGCAATTAAAATTAGCTTGGGAAATGCATCCGATTACATGATAAAGAATTAATTCATGATATGATACTCTTTACGGTGCACGTTCTGGTAAGAGCTGTAGATTGGAAGGATGGAGAAATTCGAGAACCCCGCTGGCATTTATTTACATTCAGGTAGGTAAGTTCACCCTCACTAATCAGAAATAATGGGGTCATTGACAGTCATTTGTCTAGTGGGCAGTGGTAACCCAAGCACCAGGTTTCCTGAAGGGAGCTGAAGATTCATGAATCTCAGGTGGCTGTGGCGCAGGACACAAAGTTTCATAATTTCCGTTTTTCTGCCAGAGCCAGAAAGAAAGCTTCGGGATGAGCGGAGAGTTATGGTGGCAATAGATCTCCCCTGCAGCTCTGAGCCGTCTCCGGATTATCTGAAGGTGACTGTAGCAGAGGTAGTGTACTCAGCACTAACTTTGAGATCTCGCCCAAGAATGAGACTCGTAAATAAATCCTGGGAAGAAGCCACATAATGAAACAGGACTGTGGTTTTCTGACTGACTGAGCTGGAAGGAAATAAATAACCAAGAACTGTACAAGATATTTTTTTTTTTCACTTCCTGCACAGAATAAAACTTCCTTCAACCTTCAAACAATTCTGATACTATCAGTCATTCTGAAGACCTCAGTATAAAGTGCTAGGGAACAAAACAAAAAACAAAAACTGAAACAAAAACATGATTCAGGCTGGATGCCATGGCTCACCCTGTAATCCTAGAACTCTGGAAGGCTGTGGCAGGAGGTTAGAGACCAGCCTGATCAAAAGTAAGACTCTGTCTCCACAAAAATAAATAAGAAAATAAAAATACAAAGAAAAAGAAAAATTATGGCTGGGTGGCACACGCCTGTAGTCCAGTTACGTTGAGAGGCTAAGGTGGGAGGATTACTTGAGCTCAAGAGTTTGAGGTTGCAGTGAGCTAAGATCACACCACTGCACCTAGCCTGGGTGACAGAGTGAGGCGCTGCCTCAAAAAAAAAAATAAAATAAAAGGCATGATTCAGTTTTATTTAAGAGTCTCGTTTCCAAAAACACACACAGGTCCTGGGTCACATATTTATCTGTTTTGGCACTCTATCAAATTAAAAATTTTGCTGGTACCCAAATAGTACTCATTCAGCTCAACAAAAGGTGACTGTGTTTACTGTGTGGTAGAGACAGTGCTAGGTGTAGGGTGTGCAGAGGCAAAGGAGTGTGGGCCTTGTCTTCAAGGAGCTTCACAGTTTACTTGGTGAGAGAAGCAAAATAAACCAGGAATTATCGTTCAGTGCAACGTGTGCAGTAAGTCCATTAAGTACAAGGTGCTAAAAGAAAAGAATATCATCTGAGCCAGGGGTAGAGTGGGGGTGGGTTTCAAGAAAGCTCCCAAAGATAACAGTTTAACTAAGTCTTAAGAGGATAAATAAAGAAGGAAGGCATCTCCAGCCAAGTGTCGACGGAAAACCGCACAAACTGTGGGACTCCAGAGTACGTGTTCAAGTCACAGCAACGCAAGACAATGAAAAGCACAGTCCGCTGAGTCAGACTTGTGCTCTAATCCTGGACCTCCATTTTCCAGCTGTTGGTTCATCTACACCAGGGTCCTCAACTTTTACACAGGGGGCCAGTCAACTGTCCTCAGACCATTGGAGGCCGGACTATAGTTTAAAAAAAAACAAAAAACAAACTATGAACAAATTCCTATGCACACTGCACAGTATCTTATTTGAAGTAAAAATAAAAACAAATGGCAGAAACACCCGCATGTGGGCCCACGGGCCGATTTGAGGACGCCCGACACAATACAGGCAATAATATATCACAACCTGCTGTAAAGATCAGTCGAATGTAGGAAGGCACCGAGAAACAGGTACCAGAGCAGTTGACACACTGTAGCTATCCTTGTAGCACAGCACAGCGCGCCCTGAGGTTGTAAGGGCTGAGAGGAAAAGAGGCTCGAAGGTAAGTCAGCCCGGGTCTGGGCTCTCTAATCAACCTTGAATGTACTAAAGATTTTGGATGTGGCTCAAGAAGGAGGAGGAATGGCTTTAAACAGAGAAGGGACCTGAACAAATTTGATTCTCCTGTGTGGAGATTTGCATTAAAGCACAGAATATCTATTTTACCTTTTATTTCTTTTTTCCTCGGTCAACAAGTTAAGTTTATCTCTAATTAGTAAGTGTACTTTCATATATAGCACATTTCTTAAGGCCTCATGACAGCAAGAGAGAGTAGGAGAACACTGGTTGAAATCAAGAACACTGAGTTCTTTCTCCTGTTTGATCACAAATTATCTGACTTCGGGAAAGCCACTTAATCTCTGCAAATGTTTTGCTTGTGTAGGTTAGGGAGCATGCCAGAAACCCTTATCTTCTGCATAAGCACACTGTAAATTCAACTGACTTGTTCTGTAAGTAAATATTATTATTGTTGTGTTGTTGTTTATTGTTCACACTTGGGATTCAAATTCTGCCTC